CGACCTAACCTGAAAGTAAATCCTAGCTTGATTTTTATTTTTATTTTTTTAAAAAATATATTTTACAATAATTCCATTTCATTTCAAATAAGTTAAGATTGTTAAAAATAATAGATGTATTAAATAATAGCTATAAGAAAATGTGATTATTGTTATATTGGCAAGAAAAGTATTAGTTATAATTGTAAGCACAAGATATAGGTACCCAGTCAACACACGTTGTGCACTCTGACAATTCTACATCTCATATTTTATATTTTAAGCTCTTGTGTTGTTGTCGAAACGTGATGGGAATGCACCCTTATGATAAATCAATGACTCGTCGAGGCACAAAAGGACCATCTCTTTACCTGGTTACAGGTGCCATGATTCTGGCAATACGTGTTGCAGTCAGGGACCGAGCAGTCCTTGCTACCCCAGCCTTGGAAGCAGGCACAACGCCCATCGTTATCGCAAATGCCATGACCCGAGCAGCCCATGGGACACAGCGAGACAGAGTAAGTCGCATTGAAGCCCAGCAGGTTGTAGTTGGCGTCACTGAAGAGGTGTAACAGCATCTGTAAAGTAGAAAGGAAGGAAGTACTCCCAAGTTGGTGTCAACATGCCCCTGTCGGAGTCTGAATCTGAGGGAGGAAAACAGTTGACAGGGAATGGGAGTGTGACTCCGTTGGCTGTGGAGGAAACTGGGGAAGGGAAAAGTCCGGCTGGGCAGAGCAGGGGAGAGATAGAACAAGGGAGAGGGAGTTCAGAGGAAGACCCAGGCCCACCCCATCTTCATCCTAGGGCATGCAGGGAGGAACGGAGAAGGGATGGCTTACGGGGACGGAAAGGGCCCTGATTCCCTTCATTAGCCACAGCTGGGAAGAGAGTTTAAAAGAGGTGCAAGCTGAGTGCGGCGTCTGCTGGGAACAAACTTGAGTTTATCTTGTGTTGACTTTGGTTATCTGCCTTCCTGGTATCCTCCCAACCATGTTGAATTATGGCCGTTCCTTCACGTCTGGAATTCCTGCTCCTGCACTCCCGGACTAATTACCTCATCTTGCCTTGTTTGACTTAATAGTTACAGTTTGTGTTGACCATGTTTTGGACTTGATTCTCTGAAGCCAAAGGCTGTTCCTGGGAGTTTTTCTCCAGCCCAGAAGGTAACCAGGACATTAGGGGCAAACTTGGAGCTAATAAAGGGACTCCTACTGACTGTGTAGCTTTTGTGCCATGCCCCGAGTCATCACAACAATGGACTAACTTGGATTCTCCAATCCAAGCTGTGTTCCTTTCGATGTGTGTCTTTTTCAAGTGCTTTGCAGGGCAGGGAGTCCTTGATGTACGGCTGCAATTGAGCCCCAAATCCCTGTCGCTAAGCGAGACCATTGAGGGAACTCTGGCCCATTTTGCAACCTTTCCTGCCACCGTTGTTAAGCGAATCACTGCGGGGGTTAGGTTAGTAACGCTGCTAAGTCCATCAGGTTTCCCCCGTTGGCTTTGCTTGCCAGAAGGTCACAAAAGGGGATCACGCGAGCCCTGGGGACACAGCAACCGTCATAAAGAGTCAGTTGGCAAGCATTTGAATTTGGATTAGGTGATTGCGGGGATATTGCAGTGAAGTGGGCACTGCAGCAAGAAAGGTCTTAAAATGGGGCAAAATTCACTTAACCACCCTCTCACTTAGTAACGGAAAATCTGGACTCGGCCGTGGTCGTATGTTGAGGACTCCCTGTGACTGGCTGAGACGAGCTTCTATGGAGGAGGCCTCCCCTAGGTCGTGATGTCACCTTGCAAATGATGCAATTTGCATAATGCATGCATGCAAAGTGAGATGTCATTTGCATAATGACTTCACCTTGATTTAAGTGTGTCAATGATAGGAGAATAGAGAGAGTGGTGCAGTAGCCTGAGGCTGTGAGTTCGATCCTAGGCAGAGGCTGATATTTCTCTCTCTGGGCACAATGAGGATAGAACAAAGCTCTACATTGGTGACAGGAAGGGCATCTGGCCAGTAAATATTCTGCTAACTCCATTTGGTTGCCCAGACTCCACCCCACAAGGGATTATAGGGTCATTAAATAATGATAATGATGAATGATAAAACAGAGCCATTCAGTTCCAAGGTTGGAAGAAACGATTGACTGAACCGTAAAGAAAGCATCTCCCACCATTTGGGCTACCGTACCTTGCCCGAGGTGGCCTCGATGGTAGGGGGCAAAGTGCTGCCACTCAGGCTGGCCAGCAAAGGGCTGCTGGGAGAATCTCCGTCATAAATGAAGAGGTAGTCATACGTGCATTCCGTGTCCATAAACATGAAGGTCAAGAGGATACGGTAGCTGCTGCTAGGAGCTGAAACATACAGGAAAAAGAAAGCTTAGAACTCTGATCCCAGGATCAACAGTGTGCAACACAGTCAATCTTAAGAAAGCGAGTTACGGGGAGTCCTTGACTTACAACCGTTCATTGAGTGATCATTCTGAAGTTACAACGGCCCTGAAAGAAGGTGAGTTATGACCATGGGGATGACTATATGACTATAACTTTGTTGCTTATATCTTTACAATTTATATTGTTTTATTTAGTAGTCTCCTAGTACGATTTGTGCTGATTCCTGTCACTAAGTGTGGTATCTTTATGATTTATGATGAATGTATTTATACGATGATTATGATCATGATTTATCACTTATAGCATTTATGTACAATCAGAGCTGAAGAAGCTTCTTGGAGGAGAAGCAGAACATCTTCAAAAGAAACCAGAAAGTCCAGTTGCCTCTTGAAAAAAAGCACCTTTGGGACAACCATGACCTGGATGACGGAGAATCTCCATAGACAATGAGAGCTTATGCGCCAAAGACAAAGTCCTTGTGTGTCCAGTCACACTTGGCCAATAAAGAATTCCATTCCATTCCAATCCAATCCATTCTCTACTGCATTTTCTATTCTATTCCATTCCATTCTCTATTCCATTCCATTTTCTACTCTATTCCATTCCATTCCACTCCACTCCATTCTCTATTCCATTTTCTATTCGATTTTCTATTCCATTCCATTCCATTCCACTCTCTATTCCATTTTCTACTCTATTCCATTCCATTCCACTCCACTCCGTTCTCTATTCCATTTTCTATTCCATTTTCTATTCTACTCCATTCCATTCCATTTTTTATTCCATTCTATTTTCTATTCTATTCTAATTATATTCATATGAAAAATGGTCATAAGTCATGTTTTTCTGTGCCGTAACTGTCACTAAACTAATGGTTGTAAGTTGAGGACTACCTATATTTCCCTACCCAGCTATTATACTATCCACAAGAAAGAGGTTATTGTTTTAATAAAAAGCAACATATCAGTCGCATTGCCACAGAAGTTTTAATAAGCATCCTGGGATGTGTGGACTTCAACTCCCAGGATTGCCCAATCGGAGACAGCGTTTATGCCAAGAGCCCTCAACAGATGTTCCCTAGAGGGTGAAATGCCTTGATTTGCAGCCTCCTCCCTTAAACCATCATCACCCACCATACTTCTTCAAATGCTCACCCTCCACCAGCCATTCACAGTTGCCGTTAACCGAGTAGTTGCCAGGTCCATCCGTCACGTAGCCAGAAGCGCTGCGTAGCACCTCGCGGCGTCCCTTACAATCACCGGCATAGGTTTGATGGATCCCGCACAGAGCAAGGGGCAGCAGAACCAGCAGCTTTAAACAACTGGATTTTAGGAGGTCCATGATGGTCTTTGGATCTCCCTGTAATCCAAAAGGATGTTCGGTTAATATAGCTTAGAGGTCTTCAAACTTGTCAACTTTAAGACTTGTGGACTTCAACTCCCAGAATTCTCCAGCCAGCTATGAATCCTGGAGGTTGAAGTCCACAAGCCTTAAAGTTGACAAGTTTGGGGATCCCTGATATAGCTGAAAAAATTAAATGGGGTATCAGTGTCCAGCCATGGTTGAGGAAGAAATACAGAAAAAAAATATTCAATATCCTGCATTCTTACACTGGATAAATATTAAAATTATGGTTCCTCACAGAATCAGCCAGATTCTAGATTTTATCCATTTTTTGAGGCCTGCCCAAGGACCTGAGATAGGCAGATGTGTTAAGAGGTGTTGTTTGATTTTTATCCCGCCTTTATTAAAAGTAACTCAAGGCGGTGAATATACATAATATTCGTTCCTCCTTCTCTTTTTCCTCACAACAACCCTGTTGTTGGGTGGGTTAGGCTGGGAGAGAAAGACAGGCCCAAAGTCACGCAGCCTGTTTTCTTTGCTATTAGATGCCAATCTATTCTCTTTAGAAACCGCTCAATTTTAGAATGGTCGAAGACTCAATGTAAATATCTTTTTCCATTTTGAGTTTGGTTCTTTTGGTTTTCTTTTCTACCACTACCTGTGCTCTAAAATTCTGCTAGATAGCAATAAGGAAAGAACATAAAGCAGACAAGGAATTTATTTTCTCAATACAGCTGGATTGAGGAATAGGAAATCCACAAGAATGAAAAATGAACAAATTGTACCATTTTTTTTTAAAAAAAACTTGTTAATTAAACTAAATAATTCATTATTTTCCCAGCCCATTTACACCAAAGAACTTAAAACACAATTCTGCAATGGCAACACATGCTCTCAATGGACCACGGTTGGAAAAGAAATGTAACATGAAAATGAAGACATTTTAACAACCTTTTAATTACAACTCCCTCCCACTTTTCTAGTTTTTATGGGTGCCCGCTAGGCAGAACTCCCTTTTTTAAAAAAAAATGTGTGCCAGCTTTAACGGAGAACTAGAAAGCCTACACTTTCCATGCCTTCGTGTGTGTCTTTCAAACAATTTAAATGCAATTCCCTCCATACCTAATAAACTGACCTCTCTTGTTTCGGGGTACCTGAAGGTCAGGCTGGGACAGGGGCTGGATCGGGTTTGGTGAGTCCCCAATGTGAATCCTCCCTGGCTGACTTTTGAGCCAATCCCTCCTTCTTTCATTCTCAGCCCAGCCTACCTTGCAGGGGTACTGTCGTAGGAAAGAAGGACACATTATTTGGGCTGCCTCAAGCTTTTGAAATAAAGGCATGCTATGCATCTCACAGTCAAATGATAGATAGATAGATAGATAGATAGATAGATAGATAGATAGATAGATAGATAG